AGAAACCCTGCTGTCAACAGTGAGGTTTACTTGCCAATCTTTTCTGTGGACTCGCTGTGATTGAGTAATTCAGAGGTGGAGTTAGCATGAGCACTTGCAATCCTTTGTGTCCTGCACTTGGCCTTGGTACCCAGATCAAGGTCAGGACAAGCTCTGGCCATGTGTGAAGGCTTCCGTTCACACATGGCCAGGCAGCTGACAGTAGCAGCTTTTGGTCTGTGTCCTAGTGGAAACAGTGAGAGAAAATGAAGAGCTGACATGCTAGTAAGTACATAGGGTCACACGAGAGCATGGACCGTGAAAATGTAGCGTGAACCCCACCGTTCAGAATGTTTGGAGAATCGCAGTGTGGCCGCCCCTGGGAGCTTGATGGCAATCCAGATGCTCAGGTTCCCCTCAGACCCGCTGAATCAGAGTCAGGGTTTTAGCAAGATGCCCCCAGGATGCTGTGCTCCCAGAAGGCAGAGAAGCACTGGGCACGCATTGTTTACTGTGGACGAAATTACACTGTGACTGCGACTCTGACTCTGACTAGTGGTATGACCTTGGCCAAGTTAACACAAACCCCATGGCCCCTGGGTGGTTTGGCTGTAAAATGGGGCTATCATCGCCTTTGTCATGAGGTGGTGTGAGAATCAGACGAACTTATTTGTGTCAAGGACTCATCACGTGGTAAAAGCTCAGCAAACTGAGTTGTGACTGACAATAAGTCAAAGAAGGCAAGAGCAGAGAGCATTAGGGAGGCAGTTTATGCCTCAAACCCCACAGTCGTCATCACCAAACAATGCTTGTACCCTCGGCAGATCGGATTTCTCTGAACAAGAAAATAGCAAAAGCTGGAGCTTCATAAGCTTCTATAGCAGTGATGGCGAACCTATGACGTGTGTGTCAGAGGTGACACGTGAACTCATTTTTTTGGTTGATTTTTCTTTGTTAAATGGCATTTAAATATATACAATAAATATCAAAAATATAAGTCTTTGTTTTACTATGGTTGCAAATATCAAAAAATTTCTATATGTGACACGGCACCAGAGTTAAGTTAGGATTTTTCAAAATGCTGACACGCCGAGCTCAAAAGGTTCGCCATCAGTGTTCTATAGCCTGTGGTCCCTGTCAGCGACCCAGTTGGCAGAAATACGTGGACCAAACAGCCTAAACTCCTAGACGAGCTCCATGAGCCGGCCTGAGTTACACTTGCTCTGTCCATTACACTCCATTTGAGAGGAATGTAGCAGGAATTTTCAAGACACCCAGGAGAAAGGCTGCGGCAGACAGAGAAGATAAGTGTCGAGGAAGGAGACTGGGTGAGATGCGCCCTTGTCTTATTAGTAGGGTTTAAGAATGGGATAGAATGCCTTATGATTTCACTTATTTGTGAATAAAATAAACAAACAAAATTGAAACAGACTCATAGATACAGAGAACAGACTGATGGTTGCCGGAGGAGCGGGGGGTTGAAGGACTGAGTGAAAAAGGTGAAGGGATTAAAAAGCACAAGCTAGTCATTACAAACTAGTCACGGGGATGTCAAGTACAGCATAGGAGATACATTGTAATGACTATGCATGGTGCCAGGCGGGAACTGGAAATATCAGGGGGAGCACTTTGTAAAGTATGTGATTGTCTAACCACTAGGCTGTACACCTGAAACCAATACAAAATAATATTGAATGTTAACTGTAATTGGAAAATAAAATTAAGAAAAAAATGTCTAACTCAAAAAAACAAAAAGAATGGCAAAGAATTGTCAGGTTAACTTCACCTACTATTTTGTTGACTGTCGGATGCGTGTGACACACACACAAACATACACACACACACACGTGAAAGTGTGCTGACCTGCTACTCTAACCGCTGCCCCGGTGCCTGACACACACACACACACACACACACACACACACACACACGTGAAAGTGCGCTGACCTGCTACTCTAACCGCTGCCCCGGTGCCTGACACACACACACACACGCACACACGCACACACGCACACACGCACACACAGACGTAAAAGTGCTCTGACCTGCTACTCTAACCGCTGCCCCGGTGCCTGACACACACACACACACACACACACACACACACACACACACACGTGAAAGTGCGCTGACCTGCTACTCTAACCGCTGCCCCGGTGCCTGACACACACACACACGCACACACGCACACACAGACGTAAAAGTGCTCTGACCTGCTACTCTAATTGCTGCCCCGGTGCCTGTGTCATCAGCTGGGAGTCACACTGTTTGGAAACGAGACTCTTTTGTGAACCAGTGGGAGTGTAAATACTTCCAACATGAGGTAAAGCAGAACTGGATTCATAATTGAGTGTCCAGCAGAGTTTCAGCAGCAAGATGGTAAAAGGAGGAAAAAAGGAAAGGGTTCAAATGGAAGACTTCGGGCAGCAGAGTGGGATGAAACAAGAACACGACTCAGATTCCTTCTGAAAAAGGGATTAGAGTTGATCATATTCCACAATGACTAGTGCTCCTGTGCATCCTGGTGTTTGTGGATTGATTTGTCTTCCAGGGGTTTTGTATTTTTCAATCTTTGACTTAAATCAGAACAGTTTAGCATTATTTTTCTTTAATTTGATTATAAAAATTGTTTATTGTCGTGCATTCAGAAAATACAGGAAATACAAAGAAGAATGACAAGCATGCCTAAACCCAGCACCTGCTTGTCTCTTCCTTTATTCATCAGTTATTGATAAAGTACCTGCTGGGTGCCAGGCCCCGTGCTTGGTGCGGGACAAATCCTCCCTGACAAGGTGGCTTTGTGGAGTCTTCTTAGAGCTTCCAGTTGTCTGGCTAAACCGCTAATAGGTTTACTATATTCTTACTGTGTGTCGTATCCTGTTTTAGGTGGTTTATAATATGTGTATTAACTTGGTTCCTCTAATACCACAACGAGGGAGGTGCTGTTTATTCCCACTTGACAGATTGGGAAACTGAAGCACAAAGAAGTTAAGCAATTTGCTAAAGGCCACAGAATCAGTAAAGGCAGATTCTTGATTAAAACCCAGGCAGCCTGGCTCCAGAACCTGACCTATTAGTCACTAAACTGTACTGCCATATCACATGCTATACTATACGGACAGTTCTGATTCCTGCGTTTATGTTGGCCATTAACATGTTAGCATCCTCCTGTACTGTACATGAACTGTGTATAACTTCTTACCTCTAAACGAAGTAGAATTTTTAATTTACTCACTTGTTTAATAGGATCATAATGAAATAAGCATATATAGAAATGTGATGATAATCATTTAAATGCTACAGCAATCATTAAGATTTCTTAATGCTTATCATAATTTTTAATTTGATTTTTCTTGGTTTAATTTTATTTTCCAATTACAGTTTACACTCAGTATTATTTTGTATTAGTGTCAGATGTACAGCATAGTGGTTAGACAGTCCTGTGCCTCATACAGTATCCCCCCCATCATAATTTTTTTAATCCACTTGGAGTGCGGGAAACGAGTTAAGTCGGCTCGCGTGAATTGCGCGTACTCCGCGGGAGCCGTCTTTAACTCGGTTCATATAGATTTGCGGTGGAGTGCGGGAAACGTGTAAACTCGGGCCGATTGTAACTGCATATTACCAAATATTTGTTTGTAATCCACCCTTTTGGTGGATGGAACAAAACCAAAAGACAGAGCCATCTTATATTTTGGCGGGAAATTCACCCGCACTCCAAGTGTTAAGAGGAGTTAACATGGACAAGTTATTGTAGGAAATTAAACATTTTGTAGTCATGTTTGATTTCATAGCAGGAAAATAAACGCAAATTCAGATAAGGGTAACAAGCGGTCGATGCCGACGACTGTTCTGGAAATGAATCGCTCATGTGGAATTGTGTCGGAGCTTGCACTGGAGAGGTTGTACATTGCGTTATGAGTGGCTGTGAGGCTCAGGGCTTTCATGGCATGTGTTCACACCATGATGGTGTTTAGGTTCAGTTTAGACAGAAGTTCCCAAGGATGAGTTGTGTCAGATGGAGCCACTCGGAGAGGAACTTGTGCTGCGGTTCAGAGCTAGTTGCATAGCGGGCAGGGGATGCTCTCCGTGCGTGTTGTCGGTATTTGTGAGTGGTAACATTGTGTACCAGCAACATAGAGTCTGCAGTCCAGAAAGGTACAGATTCATGAACTGTAAAGAGATTTCAACTAATAAATGGAAATTTAAAAATTGACACCATAGGATACATTGGAACGGGGGGTACCCAGTGGAAAGCATGGGCTTCCGAGTCAGGCAGACATGGGTTGGGGCCCCAACGCCCCTGCGTATTCACTGTATGGCCACAAGCAAGTCCCCTGGCTTCTCTGAGCCTTGGTTTCCTCTTGATGCTATTGCCTGCCTTCTGGAATTGAAGGATTGAATGAGTACATAACACACCTGGTACCATGCCCAGCACTTGATAGAGGATCCGTTAATGGTCACTGTCATTATTTGCTATTAAATATGTTTAAATCTTCTTTCCAAATACCTTTCTAAATACCTATAACAGAGTGGTTGAACATGCATATGAAAGCAAGACTGGGTTCCACTCCTGGCTCTACTACTTCCTAGCTGTGTGACATTGGGAAAGTGACTTAAATTCCCTGTGTATCAGGTTGCTTTCTTTAAGACAGAATAGTTCTACTACCCATGTCTTGGGGTGGTTGGGTGTTAAGTAAATGATTATTCATACATAGTGAGCACCAGGTGAATGTTTGCTCTTACTACTGCTAATGTACTCATTAACTCAGAAGGAGGTGTATTGCACCTTAAATAAGTAGGTGTCTTTGAACATTTCCTCAGCTTCTACAACTTTTGCTTACTATTTACATGTTGTTAGATGTCTGTAGTTCAAACGTAGTTTATTACAGTGCATATTAAGACATGAATCATCAGTTTGGGTAATATCACGTGGTGAGGAGAATTTTCCGATTTGGCAACATGTTTGAATATAAATTGTTATTGAAAATGGCCATTCTGAAATGTCCTTTTCCCTTCAGATTATTCTGAGCTGGGAGAGCTTCCGCCGCGGTCTCCGTTAGAGCCAGTTTGTGAGGATGGGCCCTTCGGCCCTGTCCCGGAGGAGAAGAGAAGGACATCACGCGAGCTTCGCGAGCTGTGGCGCAAGGCGATTCTACAGCAGATCCTCCTCCTCAGGATGGAGAAGGAAAACCAGAAGCTCCAAGGTTGGTTTGCCATACTTTATACTCAGCAGGCCTGGTGATCAGAACTTATCTCGGCTTGAAAGTGAAATCACATCAGATGTAAGCGTGCAACACTTTATATACAACTGTACAATTACATACACGTAAATATCTGTTTACTTTAAAACATCTGTTAATCAGTAAAATTAACACCACATTTTGGAGATCTAATGATCTCACTAACTGTATTAGTTATCCCTATATGGTCGTTTTTAGCATAGTGCCTAGAACTTCTGAGAGACAACCTGCAAATGTAAGCTTTAACCTCCTAAAAGTGGGTTTTGTTTTGTTCTCTTCTCTCTCTCCCTGCGCTGCCCTCAGCCAGAGTCTGTGCCTCGATGTTATATGTGAACTAATCCCACATAATCACTAACTTCATAACCTCACTCTGTGTGCATGTTTAGTGAGCTGCAGGTAACCTGAAACGTCAACATTAGCCGAGCTCTACCTGTATGATCAGGGTGTTTATGTAGCCAGGCTCACTCCGTTCTGAGGACGGCTCTGGGGTATTACTCGGAAGAAGAAAGGAAACTAAAGCCCAGAGAAGCCAAGCAACCTGCCCAGGGGCATGTCAGGATCCAAATAAGCCGTGAACTTTGAAAGCTTAGGTTTTGTTCATTTCCTGTTTCTATGCTGTCACTTGAAGCAATACATATTATTTTCGAAGTAGCTAAGAGCTGAGTTTATGTTCCCTGGATGGTATAATGGAAAGGACATGGGACTTGGAGTGTAGAGCGTGGCCTGGCCATAAACTAATGAGGAATGTGATCAGAGCTTCTGGACATACCCTCAGAGGGAGCCCAGGCAGGAGTCAGCCGTGCCGTCACTCCCAAGGAGGTTTTGGAATTAGAGTCCAGCGGTCTCCCTTTAGTTGTGGTTTTCAGTTACCTGTGGTCTGAAAATATTAAATGGAAAATTCCAGAAATAAGCAATTCATAAGTTTTAAATTTGTGCTGTTCTGAGTAGTGTGATGAAACCTTGAGCTTTGTCCCACTCCATCCTGCCTGGACTTCCATCATCCCTTTGTCCAAAGTTTCCTCGCTGTCTACACTACTTGCCGTTAGCCATTCAGTCGCGGTTTTAGTCATCAGAGCCACCGTCACGGTGTCGCAGTGCTTGTGTTCAGGTCACCCTTATTTTACCTAATGATGGCCCCAAAGCACAAAAGGGGTGATCCTGGCAATTCGGATGTGCCAAAGAGAAGCCCAAAAGTGCTTCCTTTCAGTGAGAAGGAGAGTATGTACAGGAAAAACATAGTGTCTATGGTGTCCAGTACTCTCTGTGGCTTCAGGCATCCCCTGGAGGTCTTGGCACCATCCCCTGTGGATAAGGGGGGACTGCTCTACATTTCATTGAACTTCCTCCCTGGTTGTCCATCTTCATCTTTCAATAACGATCTTGCTCTCTGTAAGAAGCTGAAAGTCATTAAGACACTGGATTTGATTAATACGGTTCATAGTCCAGATAAGTCTATTATCTTTGACCAAATACAAGAAATGAAATATGAAGTAATAAGAACTTTTGATATGAAAGTAGCCCAACCGTTGTAAGAGGCTGCTTGTGGACGTAGACTCAGTATCGAAGCTGAGTGAGATGGGCCGTTCCGTGAGGGTGCTGTCAGTGCTAGGACTTCTCCCAGCTCCATTTTTCTTCCAGTTTCTTGTGGGTCCCTGAAGGTGACTAATTCTAAAAGCAGCGATCTAAAGGAGCTTTGATGGGGATGGCATCACTGAGTGTGTCATCAGTTGAGTGACAGCTTTGGAGCACAGCACCCACGTTCCTGTGCATGTTGGTTGAGATTTTTGTTGAAAGGGAAAGACAGTCGTGTTTATCAGGTAGGTCATAAACCTTAGTGCCTATCCTGGTTGACTGTGCAAATGACAGCCATGGAAAATCAGGGCTCCCCTGTGAAACGGGAGTGGTGCTGGCTGGCCTGGGAATGATGGGAAGAATCGTGACTGTCATTGACGAGATCAGGGTACCAGAGAAGCAGAGCTCCTGTGAAGCTGTGTAAATGGCGACTTGCCCGACCAGAATGAGCTGGGACATTTCCTGAGGTCACCTGGAACACCTTGCTGGCAGCTGTATATGTGCACTGGCCCCGCCCAGCACCTTTCCACTGCTTCCTCATTTCACCTGCAGAGTTCAGTCCCGGGTGGCCTTTCGTTTTTACTGCTGGGATTCATTTCTCTTTTTAGTTCTGTGAAGTTCAACACGTGTTTACCTTTGCAGTGAGAGCACAGTAAGCTTGCTAAATATAATTTAGAAAGCATCGCATGAGTATGTACAGTACCTATATTGCTGAGAAATCATCATTTCTTAAAAAATATTTAGTAAGCTGTGTTGGGGTGGGATAGGGGGCAGGGTTTTGTCATTAAATACAGAAGCAAGACTTGATAAGAGCTTATCAGGGAATGTACTGTGTGCTGGAAAGACAGCCATTCTATTGCTCCCCCTCACACCCCCCAATTGCTTTTACAAAGGAAAGTTAAATTGCAGCTGGGAGTGGCTCTTAAAATTGATCGCGGGTTCAGGCCAACTGGCAAGCTCTTTGGAAAAGAAACTAAAAAAACACGTATGAGGTCCTGCCTACCGCTAAGCCTAGTTCCTGGCTTTTGCATATATGGACCAAATATTATTACGGTTCTGGAAGCATTGCATCTGAGAAAGAACCAAACAACGTCATTGAAATCTGCCTAGCTCGCCGTAGAGTGTAGACAGGGGGAAGCTGAATTGTAATTCCCCCAGTTAAACAGCTTATTTTTTCAGTGATGTTGGGACTAAAATGCATCCCCAGCAGACCCCCGCAGGCCCCTCTGCAAGGCCATTCTCCCTCTTATAAATGAAGACGCAGGCAGCCTACTGCCAGGCAGCAGGGCGTGGTTCAGTGCAAGCCTAGCTCTTGGTCAGCACGTTATTGCTTGTCGGACTGACTCTCACAGTTCGGCATTTCTTGTTTGAGATTGAAATGGTATTACATCTGCATAGTGACCCATCGAATTTGGAATTTTAATTGAATTGTAATTGAAGATATTTTTAAAAGGTTTTCCCCTGGTTAAACAAATGTTACATGTTGGTTGTAAAAATATTAAACAATGGGTGCAGTTTTTCCAAAATCTCCACAAGCTCGGGGGTCATTTAATTACTGAGGCTCCCAGCCCCCAGCCTTCCCTTCCTCAGCTTTCCGGAGGCGGTGGCAGTCGGAAGAGTGTTTTATCTGTGGAAGCGGTTGCTAAGGGCGCAGAATTGGGAATGAGCAGCCACAGCCCACCCTACGCAGGGGACATAAATCCGATCTGAACGTTAGTCCCAAGTCCAAGTGAGCTCACACGCCCATGTTAAATGATAACAAGTGTTTTCGATGACTCTCGTGCAGTCCTGGTTTCCCCAGCCCCAGAAACTCACCGACACGGACTGTAGACCCTTATTCACTATTTCAAACAGTTTGGTCTCGTATCTAAGAGACTTGCATTGGCACCTTGACGTTTGTCACAGGCCCGCACCATCTGCCTTGGTTGACAGGCATTTTGGAGGCCACTGAATTTAGCTGGGTGTTGCCTGGCCAACAGCAGAATGCATGGATTAAGCCTTTCCAGCTGAGTCTTCTGGCCAGACGCTCCCGACCTGTTGACTGCAGAGCCTGTCTCTTGTGTTTCTTGCTGGGCTCTTCAGTGCAGCCAGACGCTCCCAGGCAGAGTTCACGGCCAGGGAAGTAAACGTGCGTTGGCTCCCGGAGCCCTGTGCTGCTCGCATTAAGCAAGGCTAGGCCTGACCCGATTTGCTACGGGGGTTAGTTCAATGCTAATGATACCTTCTGTGTTTCCTCACAGCCACACAAAAATCTGGGGTTGACATTTAAAAAAAAATTTGAACTCCACAGATCTAGGGAATTGTTTAGCAGGACCTTGCAAATTCTTCAAAGTAAGAAGGAAAAGAATAGAGATACTAGCTGAAAAATTGCAAAAAAAAAAAAAAATAGGAGAGCACTAGGCCTGAGCCACTTGCTACCCACCAGCCAGTCAGTAACCTTGCCACGCCCTTAATCGCGCTGAGCTCCAGTGACTGTGTCCGTGAATGAGGGGCTGGACCAGGGGTCTCTGTGGGCCTCTGCAGTGCCCTCTTTTGACGTATTTGTACCGGGCAGCAGTAATGGGCCGGTTAGGTACCGAATCCGTGTGTCAGAGGAATAAGGTCCGCCACCAGGGTCCCGTTAGCCAGATTTACTGCGTTAGCATTTGCTCAATTTCTAACTCGGGAAAATTACATCAGCAGCACTTAGTTTGTAAAGCAACATTCTGTGCCTTCCACTGTCTGTAGCTTTGATAATATAATTTGTGGCGCACGTGCGAGTGAGCGGGCATTTTGTGCATGCTTGGTCTATTTCCTCTCATTTAATCCTCACAAGCTACTCAGTGAAGTAGCTGTAATTCCCATTTTATTTATTTATTTTTATTTAATATATTTTTATTGATTTCAGAGAGGAAGGGAGAGGGAGAGAGAGATAGAAACATCAGTGGTGAGAGAGAATCATTGATTGGCTGCCTCCTGCACAGCCCACACTGGGGATGGAGCCCGAAACCCGGGCACGTGCCCTGACTGGGAATCAAACTGTGACCTCCTGGTTCAACCACTGAGCCAAGCAGGCCGGGCTGTAATTCTCATTTTAAAAGTAATAGGACCTGGTATTCAGAACCAAAGCAGTTTAAAGGCAGAGGGCTTTGAATCCTGCCACCAGCACTTCTCACAGGCACAGGAAGGACCCTGCTCAGCCCGGGTCTCCTCCGGAATGAAACGGGGTTGGGGTGGAGAGTGTGTATATCTGCAGGGGGTCGGGGAACACACTCGTGAGGTGTGTACACTGACTTACCAGTGTCGGTAGGACGAAGAGCAACTTTATGCCAATAAACTTGACTACTTAGATGAAACAGACAAACCTCTAGAAAGATGCACTTGACCAAAAACTGGTAAGTGCCAATCACGGGAGCAAAAAGATCTGAGTGGCCCCGTATCTATTAAAGAGATCACATTTGTACTGAAAATCTTTCACTGAAGAATACTCTATGCTCAGATAGCTGTCCCAGATTCTAGAAAACATTTAAGGCCCCTAATTGACCCGTGCCTAATCCCAGAGGAAATGTGTAATCACTGGCTGCAAACTTCGTAACCCCGTGAGGCCGGGTCCCAGGGCCACTCTGCCTCCTGCTCCGGGACTTTGGGGAAGCTACTCAGCCTCAGAGGGACATTCAGATTAAATGTTACTAAATATAAAGTACGTAAGACATGGAGTATTTGTCATCATGAAGAAGCTGAGTTCACCAGCTCTGCCAAAGTCTTGTGTGTTGGCTTATACTTAGCCCTATATCCTACCAGCTCTCCTGATAAACACACAGTCTGGATTTCCAATATGATGTGGAGTGGACTCGGTATCTAAATAGGATTTAGTGCTTTTAGGTAGAAATTAGGCCGTCAGTTTCTATCTTTCTTAGAACTGTCCATTTAAAATCTTCCTGTATTGACCCCCCTGCCCCACTTTGGTGGTTTAGGTATAATTCTTCCTCGTAAAGCTTTAAACGGAAGAGGGTTGGTGGGAAATACTAGCTACCCTCACGTGTGAGGAGACGCGTCTGAAGAGTGTGCCTCTATTCTGTTCTGTTCCAGGAAGCAGAAACAGGATGCTCGGTAGAAGCCGGTAGTCTTCTAGAAGGTTTGGCTGGACATGAGAAGGAAGGGTCCTTGGAGAGCCTCTCTCAGCTTAGATAACGTTTTCTGTTCCGTAGCCGCGGTGTTCACTAACGTGCTCTTAAATGATCTGTTGTAGCTTCCAAAAACGACCTGCTGAACAAGCGCCTGAAGCTCGATTATGAAGAGATCACGCCCTGCCTTAGAGAAGTGACGGCGGTGTGGGAAAAGATGCTGAGCACGCCGGGAAGATCCAAAATTAAGTTTGACATGGAAAAGATGCACTCGGCTGTTGGGCAAGGTGAGCCTGCCTGGAAATCAGTCCAGCAAACCTCACCCCTCACTGATGGTTGGGGAGAAGTGTGACATTTAAAAAAAGAAATGTTTACGTCCCATCTCACCCCTTGTTCTCGTTCTTTAATTAATCTGTTTCCAGATATCTTAGTTAATTGATGCGACTTTCATTACCACTCGCAATTCCTCTTAAGTTAATCAGTTAAAATGCCCAGGAAACAGTGAGCAGATGGAGGAAACCCCAAGGACTTAGTTGCCTACAAACTGGGTGACGCTATGAGATGTACTCTGAGTTCAGTAGTAAGCTGAGAACTAACTGTGTGGCTTCCCTCCTCTCAGGAGACAACATAGAGCGTTGGACACAGACTTCAGACAGGTCATCCCAGATTCAGATCCCAGCCCTCCCAATTTACAGTGTGATCTTAGGCAGATGACTGAACCTCTCTGAGCCCCACTTCCACACGGGTACCAACAGAGGTTGCTGCGAGGAGTAAGCGAGCTGATACCAGAGGCTCACAGCAGTGTCTGCTCTGCCCAGAGGCCCTGGAGAGCGGGCAGTTCTGCTATTTTTTTTTTAATTTTTATTTTTTTTAGTGTGGTCTGCTGACCGTGTACCAGTCCGAACTGTTACTGGTCCAAGATGAGTACAGAACTTAGACTAAGTCTTTAGAAACTTTTCCGGCAATTTGACAGATCCTAATGAAAAATAGTGGACTTTTATTTTCCAGCCTTTCTCCCCCGCCTCATTTTATTTTTCTACTAATTCATTTTGTGCTGTTTTATAAAAGTATCAGTGTGCTGTGGATTGGAGAATCTGAAAAGAAAAAGCTGGTCCTCCGTCACAGATAGTTGGGGAAGCACCATGTTAGAGCTTAACTTCAATGATTATCCGTGTTCAAGTGAAGCGGCCATTTCTTTTAAAATGCATATGAGTGTCTGCTGGCAAGGGCGGGGCTTTGTGAGTCTAATCTGATTCCAGGGCTCCTGGGATCTGGCCAGTCTAGTCACGAATAACCAAGTGTTTAGAAAAAGGGTTGCAGATACATATAAACCTTACGGTTTTCTTCTAACTTCATTAGCTGATCAATGGGAGAAGATACACATGCATCATTCATCTCTAAGAGAGTAAAGGGGCAAGTGGTTTTGCTCAATAGTCAATTAGGCATTACCTAACATTTATCTGCGTTTCGACAGCATCCATTTTAGTAACACATAGTTATTACTAGTTATGACTTTCCCTTTCTGTGATAAGGAGACTTGGACTTAGAGCAGTTGAGTAATGGCCAGAGCTGGTCTCCCACCCCCATTCTAGGCAGCGTAGGCCCTGCCTGTGGTTGAGCCGCCCCTCTGTGCTGTTCTCTGAGACCAGAAATACGGCAGGTGGGGGATGCAGGTTGCAGATGGGCCAGGGTTCCCTGTGTGAGCTCTGGCAGGTGTCCTCACCTCTGGGCTCTGGCCTCCTGGCTGCTAGAACGGAGGCATGGACCAACAGAGGAGCTCAGAGCTCTCTTCCAGTTCTCACATAGAGGTTGCTGGAGGCTCGCCATTGCACCACATGGCCCTAGATTGCTGTTTTTTAAAAAAGGAGGAAGAAGAGAAAAGAATGAGTTCGTTCTTTCCCTTTTCACTGTTGACTACATGATGGTCTTCAGGTGGCTTTGTTTCTGCAATAGGTAAACCGCTGGGGCCTGTGACAGCTGTTCCAGATGTGTGACTTCCTTAGAAGCCTGACGCCTGGATGTACTGGTTTTCATCATGCATTTTTACGGGGGAGAGGGGGCTACTAGAAATACTGTCAGTATCTGGACCCTGTGTAGTGGAGTTAAGGATAAGGATAAGGGTTGAACAATGTGTGTACTGAGGTGAGCTGAGGCTAACCTGGAATTTCCTCATGTGTTCCCGACATTGCCACATTGCTCTCCGTGGCAGGAACTGTATCTCTAACTGTAAAAGGGGCTTTGTCAATTATTCAGCCGGTTTCTACACATAGGATTTAATTACCCCAAACACATGGCCACAGTCCGTCTTGTAGTTCAGAATAAAAGAATGAGGTTAAGTCAGAACCACACCTTCGGCCTTCCAGGTAGAGGCCAAGTCAACTCCAAGCCCTTAAAAGAAAAGACAGTCCCCGTATGGGTAAGGGCCCCTAAGTGATGGAGATGAAGGGATTTATGAACTTTCCAAGTTTAAACGGGATCAGAGCCGAAGGATTAGGATGTCAGCTTGGGAGAAGGAAGAATAGTTCTGGGGAATTTTAAATATTCCAAAGTTTAGCTTGGGTTTAAACGATTCCTTTAATGATTTATTTAAATGATCTCATTTACTTAATGAATAAAAGATGTTAAGTAGAACTTTATGAACTGGAGTGTGCTTTTCTAGGAGTGGGATTGCAAAGCGGCTGGCTACCTGAGCAGTGGGCAGTGTGGGCCGGATGTGGACTGCTCACCTCTGACCCAGCAACGCCATATATAGAAACCTAGATGCTAATCAGTCAGCAGGGTTCTGCGGTGGGAAAGAATGCTCATTGTGGCATTGTTTAAAGGCCAAAAACTAGAACCGAGCCAGAATCCCCAACCATGTGACCACACCCGTGTCTTACTCCCTGAAAATGACGGTGGATTTGTACTGATGTAAAAGAAGGAGTCGCTAAATAAAAGAAAAAGGCACAGCGTGGGCTCACGCCCCGTTGTGCGTGTGTCTGCAGGAAAACATCATGAGGTGTTCGCAGCCGTCTGAGTAATGAGCAGGATGACCGTGCATCTGGTTCCCGGGCACAGCCCTGCTTCACAGCCTGTCCCAGCGAGATAATCAGCACCCTGCCTCCCCTTTGCTTTCAGAGTGTCCTCCTTTGGGTGGTGATTTATGTATTCACTCCAGTTACGGGTAGTCTTCATTTTCTTCGTTATGCCTTTTGGCTTTCCAGAAGTGTTTGGTTTAAATAATGAACATGTATTACTTTTCAAGTCATAAAAACGCAAAGGCGTTCACATTTGGGTGGAAGGTGGCCGCCTGTCCTCCCAGAACCCTGCCTGCAGGTCCTGGGTGGACTCCCCGGGTTCTCCTTGGGTCAGGAGAGGAGGCACAACCGAGTGTGGGAAGGTTACTCCAGGTCGTTCTTAGCAAACACATTGGCTCCACTGTGCATGACCCTTTGTTTTTAAAGAAGAGACCTAAGCTTTCTCTTAAATACCAGAATGTGTGGTACTGTCCAGTGACACACAGCCCGTGTTTTTTTCCTTCAAAAAATAAAGGTCTGATAAGCTTAATGGGAACGATTTAGTAATAAGAGGAAATTGTTCATCTCATAACTGGGAAAACTTCCCAGTTGGAAAAAGCTATTTTGTGAAAAGCCCCACTATAAATCACTTAACATGTTTTTCAGGATGCATTTCTGCATTTCTTTCTTTTTCTTTTTTTTAAATACGTTTTTATTGATTTCAGAGATTAAGGGAGAGGGAGAGAGCGACAGAAACATCAATGATGGAGAGAATCATTGATCGGCTGCCTCCCGCACGCCCCCTTGCACAAGCGAAAGATTCTGTGAAATCTGATTTCCTTCATGTCAACGCACTTGGGTCACGTCGCTTTTATGAGATGACATTCTGTTACATGCTTGGTCTTCTTTCTCAGGGCACGATGAATCTGCACCAGATAGGGGCTCCTACCACCCACCGTTTATTCCTGGGAGATTCTAGCATAATCCAAAAGCGTGTATATATGAAAGGTAAAAGGAAAGTGGGAGGGGATGAGAGGAAAGATAGGGGGTGTAGAGGAAGGAAGGAAGGAAGGAAGGAAGGAAGGAAGGAAGGAAGTAGGACAAAATTCTGGTTGCTTATAGGACAAAATTCTGGTTGCTTCCTATGCTGCTAGTTGTCATGGAACAAGAATTCAGATCGATGGACTAAAACACAACTCATTTTTATTATTAAGTTGAATTCTGTGCATAAAGCCTCTCTGTACTCTCTACCCCTCCCCTCCCCCGAAGTGTGCCACGTCATCACCGGGGTGAGATCTGGGAAGTTCCTCGCCGAGCAGTACCACCTGAAACACCAGCTTCCCCGGAA